CATCTCCAACAGGGTCTCACAGACTGGATTTCTCAAGCACCTGAGAAAAGGGATCTGAGTTGTTAAGCAGCTTGGTTTTTGTGGTCAAGAGAAGCAGGCTGTTCTCCAATGTTTGGCCAACACAGCAGGCTTCCCCTTTGATCTCTAAAACGGACAGGTTTTAACAGTCCTGCTCTCCCACTTTTCCCCACCCAACTTGAAAAAAAACATCTTCCTGTCTTCTGCAGGAAGCAGAAGCCTCTCCCTTTAAAAGACACCAGATCAGACTCTGATAAATAAGTATGCAAACAGACACAACTGCAGGAACCAAGACAAGGGTAAGGAAACAGTGAGGTAATGGAAAAGAAATAACCTGAAGGAGAAGAATAGTAGGCAACAGACCTTAAGAAGGGAGATATGGATATTTACCTATCAATTATGGCAATTTTGTGCTCATTCTCTTGAGAAATGTGCCAGAGCAAAATGACAATTTTAGCTTGGACCCTTCCTTGTGAACTTGGCAGGAATGTTGGGTGATGTCTTATCAGTTCTCTGGGGGAGGGGGTGTCATGCAGCAGCTCCTTCTGCTTGACCATTTTTAAGACCCTTTCAGGGCAATTGACTATAAATCTTCAGCTCCAGTAGATCCAATCTTCTCTTGTTTAGTAAGACAAACATTGTTTTGCATCACTGATAACCTGTACTGGAGCCTCGTGCTCTAACCCAGCAGCTCCATGGTTTACAACCTGTCCAGGCAGAAGAGTAATGTGCAACTCATCCATAACAGTAATACCTCCCGGTTCTTCTGAGAAACTTGAGCCACATTGCTTCCTGCCACAACTGGACAACTTTTCATATCATACAAATGCCTGCCAGTATTTTTCAAGCGACGAACACATATCTGATTACTACTTCTGATTTAGTGAGGGCACAATTCCCAACACTTCTCTTTGTCCTCATAAGCTATCACCGCAATGTATACAAAGTATGTAGTCTTTTTTGAAGAGACATGGTTGTCTTATCTCAAAATTCACTTTCTGAACAATAGTGTGATAAATCCGTGATGGCCTCAAGCTCTTTACATTGTGAGAAAATGAAGGACGCTATGCTTTTACTCTACTACCTACTCCCACTCTGTCATTCCTGGATTGACTACATGTCACTGCCTTAAAATCCATTCTCATGCCAGGGCACTCAGGTATTTTCAGCCAGATGGCCCTGAGCAATCATTTGTCCTCTCACCAGACATTTATAAACACATGGAAAGATGTATTCATATTCCAGAAGCATGGTGGGACCATGCCCTCATGAATGTCATCCAACTATAATAGGATTAAACTCACCTAAATGTCCCTATTGCGCATCATTAAACTTGGACGAATAATAAAAACAATGTGAAAAGAAAGAAAACAAAGATGAAAAATGAGAGAAGAAAATGTCATCTCTACATCTTTTGGAATTTCCTACAGGCACCAGCCATTTGGAAACCTAGTGAATAGAACTGCCTAATTTGAGGGTTCTGTTGATTTATTGAGATTGGTCCAAATTTCCTCTACTATCTGTGATTTGTCCTAAAAAAATGTGCAGTCTCAACTGTGTTTTATTTTTATTATTATGTTTTAGACAGGGTCTCCCATAGCCCCAGCCAGCTTGGAACCTGCTATGTAGTCCAGACTGCCCTCTATCTCACAGAGATCTGCCTCCTTACTGCTGGGATGAAAGGCATGCACCACTAAGCCTGGCAGTCCTGACTGTCATTGAGAAAAAGCCTTCAAGCTCCGTGAATTGTATTACAATTCTTTGTCTTGGAGGGTTTCTGGGCAATTTCCAAGACATCACAGGGTCAACTTCTCTGAGAGACTTTGTCTTTTCCTTAGAGGTTTGTGTTGTGCAAAGAAGCTTCTTTTTCAAGAGACAGCAATAATTACAGAGTTTCATAACGTCACGCAAAGATTGATGTACAGAAGCTTTGTAGTTTTGTGACATTCTATTTGCTAGTTGTATTTCCTGTCCTACTGAATCCTATTAAGGAAGTCACTGACAGCTTATATCTGGATGTTGACACATGTTGTTGACCTTTTGCTCCAGCAGTTTCAGAGTGTCCAGTGTCATGATGAGGTCTTTTCCATTTGGCATTGAATGTTGTAGAGGATGAGAAAAACGGATCTATTTTCATTGTTTTGCACACTCGTATCTTTGCCCAGTGCTAGTTGTTGAAAATGGTGTTCTTTTTTTAATCTTTGTTTCTGGCAACTTTGTGAAACAATGATGTAGCTAGAATTGTGTGAGCTCATGTCTGGGTCCTGAATATCATTCCAAGTGTCTGTTATTAGTGTTGTAGCTAGGCGATTGTGGTTTTGTTTTCTGGTCCTGCTTCTTTGGTGTTTTTGGTCTGGTACTGGGATGGGTGTTTCATTCCTCCTCCTCCTCTTTCTCCTCTTCCTCCCCTCCTTCCTCCCCTCCTTCCTCATTGTCCTATCCTCTGCCCCTCCTCCCCTCCTCTCCTCCTCCTCGCCTCCCGACCCTCTCTTCTCCTCCTCCTCCTCTTCCTTCTCTGCCTCTTTGTCCCCTCCCTCCTGCTCCTCTGCTCCCCCCTTCCTTTCTTCTTCTTTTCACCCTTTTGAAAGAGAGTCTGCCTGTAACCCCAGCTGTCCCGAAATTCCCTATGTATGTCAAGCTTGCTTTGATCTCACTGATTTCCATCTGCTGGTTATTAACGTGTGCACCACTATGCCTGGCCATGGGTATTTTATTCTTTAGATAGGAGAAACCTTCTATGTGTTTCTACCTAAAAACATTCTCCATACGTTTAGCCTGGTGTTCTCTCCTTTTGTCTATGCCTTTAATTATTAGTTTTGGTCTTTCAGTGATATCTTAAAAGTCTTGCATGAATCATTCCTTCCATTTTTAAAAACAAGTTTTATGCTTTATATAAAAGCAATTTTAACAATGATTTCCAGAAGAGACTTGGTTTATTTAGCAAAATGTCAATATCCCCCTCTAGTGGTGACAGCCATAAAGTGCATGATGAATTCAGGCCCAAATTGTCCATAACCAGCTGACCACCTAAACTTGAGACATCTATTTTCTTTGAAAACACAGTTTCTGGAGGTTCGTTCACAATATCAAAATTATTTGTAGTAATAGAGTTCAAGGTATTTGACTCTAGTAGGGGAGCTGTCTGAGGAAATGATTTAACAAATTTTTTAGTATCATTGTTTAGAGGAAGGACGTGAAGTAGGCGGGGTCCAGAGAGTGAACTAGAAGGAAGTGGGGAGGATGCGACTGGGCAGTGTCAAAGTGAGTTTGGGAAGAGTCTAAGTCAGTCAAGACTGCTGGGGTTTAGTGTGACTGGGAAACCCACCAGGGCTGGAGACCACGTGGAGTAGCCTGGTGCAGAACCTGAGGAGGGATGACTGGATTGGACCTCAAAGAGAACCCCAAGTGTCAGGATACCCCCAGGAACCACTCCTGGCCGTGTAGTGCAGGACCAGGAGTAGGCGGCAAGGTAATTGGGTCTAGGTAGGGCATTGGGAAACTCACAAGAGCCATAGGAACCCCATGGAATCCTGTGGTGGGAAATATGAGGCAGGATGAGCTCTAGAAACTCACAGGGAGTCACAGGAGCAGCGGGAATGGGGTCGGGTTGGCCTGGGAAGGAACCAGTCACTGGATCATTGTAGAATGGAGCCCGAGGAGAGGTGGGAAAATGAATATTTTAAGAGGAGCTTGCAGGTGGTGTGTTGTGATTCCCCAGGGATTTGGTCTTAATTTCCGTTTTTCTGTTACTTAATTAAATTTGAAACATTGTTGTTGTTGTTGTTGTTGTTGGCCTTCAAAGTGCAAGTCAGCTTTGAAAATTTCCTGCAGATATTTGGGTATGTTGGCCTGCGCATTCTTTTACGTAAAATTTTTTATTTTATTTTGTGGTTGCAAAAATATACTCATAAAAGAGCTGGAGAGATGGCTCAGCGGTGACCTAGATTTGACTCCCAGCACCAATATGGCAGTGAAAAACCATCCTTAAATCCAGTTCCAAGGGATCTGAGTCCTTCTTTTGACTTCCTAGGGCACTGCATGACCTGGGTGCATTTACAAACATACAGGTAATACATACACACACACACACACACACACACACATAAAAATTTTTTTTTTTTTGGTCTTTTTGAGACAGGATCTCCAACTAGCACGAAATGGCCTGGAACTCACTATATAGACCAGGCTGGCCTCGAACTCACAGAGATCCGCCTGCCTCTGCCTCCCATGTTCTGGGATTAAAGGCATGAGCCACCATGCCTGGCTTTTATTTATTTATTTTTTTAATGCTCATAAAAATAGTGAGGATCAGTGATCATTGCTGGCTGAGGGAAAGTTGGTTTTATTCAAGGTTAAAACAGGCCCCAGTGGATAGACTCACATGGAAAGATATCTGGGGACTCAAGCTTGAGTCAGTATGCCTTAGCCTAGACTTTTTTTTTTTTTTTTTTGGTTTTTTTTAGACAGGGTCTTTCTGTAGCCCCAGCTGGCCTACATTCTCTATGGAGACAAGGCTGGTCTTGAACTCAAAGATCCACCTGCCTCTGCCTCCTGAGTGCTGGGACTTTTTAATCTCATTGAACTTTAGCATTTATAAGAACATTTTCCTATTGCATCTTCCACACAAATTCTGTCTATGAATGTTAGTAGAATTGTCAGTGCTGTTTCAGTTAACAGCACCTGGCACAATTAGGCTCTGGGTCAATGACCAGTGCTTCTGGAGAAAGCTTTGTGTAGCCTCTAGTCCAAAGGCTGAAAACAATGTTACTCTGCCATATTTAGGTATGGAGGTGAGGCAGCTACATTACCATGATGTAGGAATTCTTGATTTTATTGGCATGGTGGCCACTGGAAGGCAGGAAAGCAGAAACTTCCATGGGGTCTCCATGTTGAGCTCTTTCTTCCTACACATCTAATGTGATGGTGACAGTGAGAACGACCTGTTTTGTTTTCTGAGGTGCTTCTTCCTCTTGTTATGTTGACAGGTGAAGTGGATTTTCAGTGAACTGTAAAGAAGTTTCTCAGAAGAAAGAGAAGACTGTTTACATAAGATTTCCTTGAAAGACATGGCTTCTCTTCATGTAAATACATCCAAGTGTATGGAAAACATTCTTTCCTTATAATTTTTATTTTAAATCTTGAACTTGTAACATACACTGGCATAGTACATGCTAAGCAGACCAGACTGGTCTGGATCTCACAGAGATCAGCATGCCTCTGCCTCTGCAGTCCTGGGATTAAAAGCATGTGCCACCATACGTGACCCATATCAACTCTTTACATATGTACCGCCTATGTAGCATAGCCCTCTCCCCATTCTGTCTTTCAATGCTTATTTTTTCCAGACTAATCCAGTGAATGCATGACCAACCATCTCAAAATTACTTATGATGTGGTAGCTGAAAATACAGTCATGCCAGTCTTCAATTCCTAAGGAGGATGGGCTTGGGTCCACATACGCCACTGTATTGTTGTTTGTAAAACTAATAAATTTTTTCTTTCTTATTTTATTCAGATACTGTTTTACTTTGTCTATCATTTTAATCCCACCCACATCGCAGCCCTGATAGAATGTGCTGCTGGGTTTGTTGACATCCATATCCTGTTGTCTCCTGGGAATTGGCTCACTTGGTTGAGCTGCTCTGCACCAAATGCCAGACGTTAACATCAATGATTTTAATTTATTCAGAATAAGTTTTTTTCTGGTACTTTCCAGAATAAAGCACACAATCATGACATATGTAGACTCTCTCCTTTCATAACTGTAGTTTTCTTCTTTTCTTTGGAGAAAGAAACCTTTCTCATTTGTTTGTTAAATACTGAGTTCTCCAGGTGGAGATTCTCATGCAGGCCTCTTTCTCTCAGTTGGTATTTCTACTTCACACTCAGTCACAGCACGGTCTCCATTACTGGTTCTTTGAGCCTCAGAAAAGAATTCTGTTCATCAGCTGTTACACACATGTAGTTCACTGATTTGTGGAACCATTTGGAAGCAGCACCAACATTGTTCAGTCAGCGTTGGATCTTGTCTTCATGTTTTCTTTACTCTCTGCGGTGAGCAACCCAGTTCTCAAATCTTCTTATTGTGGTGTGCATAAGCTGGCCATTGTGTTCCTCTGGATAAGTAGTAGTTAAGCAAATGAAGATAAGAAGAGAAACTGTTATACAAAGAATCTATCAGAGTATTTTATGTGCTACTGTTTCTATAATTTCATTGCTATATGCAGGTTCTAGGACGCACTTGACGAGGATTGTGTCTCTTCTTCCTGTTGAGGGTGAGCACACTCAGTCCATGGCATTCTCCTTTAAACCGCACCTTTATTCTTCCACCGTGGTCTGCTCTCTGCTCCTGGAGTCACTGGCCTCACAGCAAAGCCTGTTAGAGAAGGGTTGTCAGGCCCAGCCACAGATCTTCTTACATCAAAATCTATGTTTTACGTAGGACTATAGTGCATGATTCTAAACATTTGAATTCATGTGAATTTTTATCAGATAAATATATATAACTGATCTTGTGTGCTACAAATACCAGAGGGAAATTGTACTCCTATGTTGAGGGTTTAAATTATGTGCTACACCCCTTAAAAGAATAATCTGCACAAAGATTTGGAGGATCTAATGCTGTTCTTTTTTTGCACAGAATTAGCAAGTACGTTAGAGTTACTACATTTAAAATGTCCTTTTGAGTAATTCAGATTGGTTGTCTGCTTTAGAACTTCTTTACTCATTATCTCTTTTCTTTCCTTGTACCCTTTTGATGGGTATGTGGTCAACTTGCCATTCTTCATTTTAGGATCCACTAACTTTCACAGATGTGTAATTTGACTTCTCCCAGGTGGAGTGGGAATCCCTAGACTATATTCAGAGGGCTTTGTACAGGAAGGTGATGTTGGAGAACTACAAGTACAGCAATCTGGTGTCCATAGTGGAGGCGATTTTTCTTGCAGAATTTCTTACTGTTCTGCATCCTTTGACACATAACGGCCTACCTGGTACATGTGTTAGTTTTGCTGAATAAGTCTTGCAATGTTTTTAATTAGTGCATTGGGAGTGCCTGGGCATCATGAACAATGTGTTTGTGTCCAATTGTTATACCGGTCAACAATCTTCATTATTTTTGGTGTTAAATTCAGCCACCCATGATTACGAGATACTGTTTCCAGAATCTTAAAGTTCCCTTCCCATAGCTACATTTTGAATCATTCATAGAATTCAGCATATGAAAACTGAAAAAAATTACTGCATATTCTAATGAGTCTGCCCTAAAATAATAACTGAGAAATCATTTGGAGAGTAGTCTCTTCTTCCTGTGTTGCCAGTGGAGTTTAGTTCTGTTGGAATTCCGGTTCTTTGTGAAGAATCCAACAATTGTCATGTGCCTCTTTCTCATACACAGGTCTTGCTGTGTGTCGGCCTGTTCTGGTCTCCTGTCAGGAACAAAGCGCAGCGCCCCAGAATGTGAAGAGAGGGGAGACTGTAGCCAATCAGGTAGATATTGGCCCAGGTGAGAGGTCCAAGGTAAAGAAGGGTAAAGACCTGAGAATGTTTTTACCATTGTCTGTTTCACTAGAAAGAAAGAGATTCTGATAGTTTAATTTATAGCAATTTCATCAAGATTTGTCCTGTGGTAAATGTCAAATGATTTCTTTTATTCCACATGAATTATGTGGAAATGACTAGTATACAAATATCACTTCATTTCATTTTTTATTTCACTTTTCCAGATCTCCCATGTCTCATTTCTTGCCCGTGCAAGATAATGGCAGGTTTTCCCCCCTGTGTTTTTCTGTTACAAGAATTTTTCAATATATATTTTTATTGAATTTTTGTGCATTTCATAAAAATGTTTCATGTTTGCATTCTCTCCCTCTCCACACTCTCTATGCACTCCCGACAGATTCATGCATTCTGTTATGTTTATTAAGGCCAATTAAGAGAAGTTTTTGACATATCGTGAATTTAGTAAATTTTCTATCTTTCGTTTTGTTTCTGGTTTGAAAATTCTGATTCCTTGTGATTTCCAGTGTTTTAAAATCAATACATTTCTCCACAAAATGACTCTAAGTCTCTGATGAGACTCAGAATATTTGCATAGCTTAAATTTCTATATTCTCTTCCTATTTTAGATAAGAATGTGTTTAGTATGTGTGACTTTCACACGGCATTTGTGGATTCCTCTGTTTTCTTCCTACTGTTGATGTCTGTGTCCCAGATTTTGGAGAAGAGAGATGGAAAAATCCTGACCTTGTATAATATTTGAGACTTGCTGTATTGCCCAGTCCATCCTGACAGTGTTCTCTGAGTGTGGGAAGCTGCACATCCTCCTGTAGTGTGTGAGTCAGTCTAGGCTTCTTTGGGATGATGCTTTCTCATGCTGCTCACTTGCTCCTTGTGTCAACCACCGACTCGCCTCTCCAGCTCCCTCCTGACTTTGTTTTTGGTGCTGAGTCAATCTGTCCTGTCACTCTGTCATTCTGTATGTGATGCCTAATGATGACATTCAAAATATTCCATTCTTTCTGTATATTCACCCTGTATGGAAATAGTGTTTGCAGAAAAGAACAGAGCCCATGTTTGTTCACATGTGTTCAAAATTTCAGCCACTCAAATGTTCTAGTAAAGTCACAGGATTTTCTTTTAATTGAACAGTTTCTTTACTTTCAATTTAAAATCTCTATACTTTTATACTCATTTAGAAATATTTCATATACTTAATTATAAAGATAATAATTTTACCAACCATGAGTTTTAAAAGTCTCTACAATTATTCACTCCGAGGAGCCGTTAGTAATTGAAATTGCCGTGTGTGGTTGTGCATGCCTTTAATCCTAGCTCTAGGGAGGCAGAGCCATGTGTATCTCTGCAAAATCGAAGCCAACCTGCTTTACCTACATAGATAGTTCCAGGACAGCTGGGGCCACTGAGAACCCCTGTCCAGAAAAAGTATGAGACAGAAAAAAAAAAAAGACTGGGAATGCATAGAACCCTGTAAGAGTCCTGCATGGCTCTTCCCACTCAACATCGGCCCATTTCCCAGGTCTCCATCATTTAGCACACCTTAGAAAGTTTTCCATTCCACATCATTTCGTACATCATTCCTGTAAAGAATTTTAGAATTAGTGTAGGTATATTTTTAATCTTACCAGTAAAATATTTTTAAACACCGTATTTTTTGTCAGGGTCCACTTCTGAGCAGCTATAGTAGATAATTTAATGTATTCACTGTTTTTCTTTTTTAAAATGTAACCTTGATGAACAATTTGAAAACTCTTTGTATATGAACAGTTATCCTTTGAGTATATAGGAAATATTCTATTACTGTAATTCATATTCTATGGGTTCGTTTATTTTCTTTTTATTTGAGTCAAAGAAATTCGTATAGTATATACTGATCATATTTGGAAATTCTCCCCTATATGTACCCCCTTTACTACCCATACGAAATTCTTTTTCTCACTCTTTCTCTCCTCCTATTTCTCTCTCTCTCTCCCTCTCTCTTTCTCTCTCTCTCTCTCTCTCTCTCTCTTCTCTCTCCTCTCTCCTCCTCTTGAGTCTGGTTAAGGTATCAAGAATCGCATTCTTGAAAGACACTCTTCCTCCTCCTCCTCCCAGTAGCCTGTGTTGGCCAACACTTCCTCAAGTAGGGTTGGGGTTTCTTAACCACTTTCCATGTGTATGCTGGGATTTTGTCTGTCTTGAGCTTATGTGGGACTTGTGCATGATGTCACCATTGGTGTGAGTTCATATGAGTAACTTCCCAGCTCTCTGTAAATCTCTTATTTCCTTGTGTTACTCCATCATCTATGGTTCTTTCAATATTTATGTCTGCTCTTCTGCAGTGATCCCTGAGAGTTGGGACACAGAATTTTGATGTAAGTATCCTACTCAGGGTTACGGACTGTGCAGTGTAATTATCTGCACATCAACCAGTTATGTTTCCTCATGTGAATCACCAAGTTCTGCACCTGGAAACTTCAGTTCTGGGAGTTGAAAGGTGCATTAAACTCTTAGTATAACAATAAGTCATTAGGAGTCACTTTAATATTATGTACATTTAGTTGAATAACAATATTCGGCTCTCTCTATTGACCCCTAAGCCTGATATCAATATCGGATATGGGTTCCACATTATGAAGGAGACTTTAAATCCAATTAGAATGTGGCTAACTACTCCCACAATATTATTGTCAGTGTTCCATGAAAGCGCAAACCATTGCAGGCCAGTTGTTGTAGCTCACAGCATTCACAGCTGGGTAAGGTTGATGATTAATTTTCTCTTGTCGTAGCACACAAAGCTCCTTCCAGCACAACGAAGGCAGACAGTAGAGATGAAGCTTTGAAGTCAGTACCGGCTTCACTTCAATGTAGAATTTTTTTTCTTCTGTACCTCATGACTGTCTTCAGAAGCAGAATCTTGTCATCAATTTCCAGTGGTAACAGAGGGCTAGTTTCTAGAATATACAAGAAACACAAAATATTAAATATCATTAAACATAGAATCCAGTTTAAAATGGGGCCAGGGTCTGTAGAGAGAGTTCTATAAGAATGAAATACACACGTCTAAGAACTTCCTTACAAATATTCAACATCTGTAGTCATAAGGGAAATTCAAATTGAAACCACTTTGAGATTTTTGTTTTTACCCCACTCACAGTGGCTAACGCCCAAAGAACAAAAAACTGACAAACGTTTTCAAGGAAGTGGGAAAACGGTGAATCTTTTCCACCTTATGTGGGAATGCGGACTGGCGCAGCCAAAATGGAAATCAGTGTGGAGTTTCCTCAAGAAACATGAAAATCAGTCTACCATGATTTGATAGAGCCAGCCGTACCACTTGGGCATATACCCCAAAACTGTCTACACACAACAGATACGTGTTCTTCCATGTTCATTGCTGCCTTTTAAAAAACCCAGATTTTCATCTACTTATGAATATATAATGAAAGCTTGGGATGTTTACACAATGGGATGTCATTCATCTATTACGAAAAACAAAGTTATGGAATTCACAGGCAGATGGTTGTAAGGGGAGACAGTCTTCCTGGGTGACATATCACTCACTCACTTTGCATTTTCTCTTTTATAAGTGGCTGGCATCTCTGAATTCCTAGGTATGCAAGTTTCAATGGAAAACTGAGAGGTCTGAAAATGAATAAATAGACTTGGAGCGGTGTGAGGTCTTCATGGGAAGTGAGACAGAACACAGTGATATTCATGGGCGAGGGGAAATAGCATAGGAAGGGTTCAATGTGGATGTGAATGGAGGGCAGGGTAGAGGAGTTAGTATTCAGAGGGTTCTCTAATGCTACCACTATAGAAGCTTCTAAATGTATATGGACATGTATTTTTAACACATATCAAAAGTTGATACCTCATAACAGGTGCACATTGCCCCTACTGAAAATCATAGGATGGGAAAGAACCCAATAGCAGCAATGCTATCATCTTTCAGAAGTTATTGACTTAGGGTCCCATAGCCCCGCAAACCACAGTGGCCATTGCTCTTGCTCATGACACCCACCAGGACGTGATGATCAGACCTATATATTCACTTTTAAAATCAGCTTTAAAACTCAAGATTTTCTCTATTGCATGTTCCTACACACTTCCTGTTTCTGATCCCCCTCTCACTGCCCTCCCTCTTCCTCGTCCTCTCTCACAGTCACTTTTGTCCTCCTAATCCACAATTTCATGCTTTCATTTCACATGGCATTTTTTCCATTATTCTTTATTCTTTCTACTGTTTGGTATGTAATTTTCATGTCTCAACTGTGTACTGTTATGAACTATGACCTCACACACATATATGAAAATTACATCTAGGATTAATTTTTTTCTGAGAATATGTCTAATACCTGTATTTCTGCTCAAAGAAATTCACCTAATTCACATAATACAAGGTGTTTTATTTTTATAAATTAATTAAATCATGTTTTGTATGTAGAATTTCTTTATACTCTTTAATTTGCATTCAAGTGACCATCCCCTCTGCTTCATATGCATTGCAAGTTGCTCCATGCCACTTACCCATGGGCCTGTAGAACGTCTCCCTCCAGGGTCATTTTCTCTACTGTTTTTCTTTTGTTCTCTTCCTGATTCTCTGTTTTTGAGTGAGTCCAATTATGGCTGACACTGAATGTTGACCTGTCTTCTTCACTTGATCTTGTGGGAGAAATCATAGCTGTATAGGTCGTGAAGTACAATGACTTTACCCATCATTGAGTTCTGACATTCTTTCTGGCCCCTGTGTGAAGGTGGTTCCTGAGCCTTGGGTGGGCAGTTAACATGGATGTTCCATGTAGGGGTGAGGATGCAATAGTCACTTATTTTCAGCACTTTGGCCACTCAGACACCTCTGCATTGACAGCCACCCACTGCAGAGAGATGCTTCTCTGGCTGAGGTAGAGGTCAAGACTTATCTTCAGGTATAAGAATCAGTATTTATAAATCAGAATGACAACACATCGTTCAGGAAAAAGTGGTGGTAC